TTAGATAATTTGATGATTATGATTAGAATTAAGACAATAGGATGACAGAACGTAGGGAAAGACCAAATTGGGTTCAAAGGCTAATTTGTTAAAGTAAATAAAGGTGGTAAGAATTTTGTTGAAAATTTTACCAAGGTTCGAAACTTTAGGATAGAAACAAGGGAAGTAAATGTGTAGAGAAGAACAAATTATCTGAACCCCATTTTTAAAATAAAGTTGTTGGTCATTTTCTTGGGTGGTAAACCAAATCACTTTGTAAATGATAGCAGAAATAGGAAAGGAAAAGATGTGAAGAATCAGGCACATGTAGTAGAGGATGAGAACTTCTATGCGATGGTCCGAAGTTAATCTAATAAGTAACATAACAGATTGGTGGGTATATTCTGGAGCTGCCAAACATATTTTCTACACGAGAAGTGCATTTTCTTCATTCACTCCTAATAGTGATGGTGAATGTTGTCCATGGGGAATGCTTCTTCCTCCAAGGTGAAGGGAAAAAGGGACCGTAACTTTTAGGTTTATTTTTGGAAATGTCCTTAGTTTGAAGGATATTCTCTTTGTACCCGATATTAGGAAAAATCTAGTGTATGATTTTGTCTTGGTCAAAAAGGGGTTTTAAATTGTATTTAAGAGTGATAAAATTGTACTCTCAAAAGGAGGTTCTTTTGCTGGGAAAGGTACGTAGATGAGAGTATGTTTAAACTCAATATTTCTATAGTTAATAATAAAACATCTACCTCATCTCGTTATTTGTTGTATTCTTATAATATGTGACATGCTACAATTGGACATATTAATACAACTTCTATTAAGAAATTAATGCGCTTGGGAAATATTCCTAAGAATGATAATTTCTTCAATACAAAATGTTAAACATGTATTGAATCTAAATATGTTAGAAAATCATTTCCTAAGGTTGATAGAACTATTTCATTTTAAGTCTAATACATTCTGATCTATGTGATTTAAAATGATATGATTCTCTTGGTGGAAATAAATATTTTATTACATTCATTGATAATTATTTTCAATACTATTATATTTATCTACTTAAGAGCGAAGATGAAAGTTTTTCAAAATTTATTTTATATAAAATTGAAGCTGCAAAATCAACTAAACAAAACTATTAAAGTCTAATAGGGAAGTAAACATACTGATAATTTTTACAATTTTTTGTGTTAGTTGTTTTATTCATGAGGTTACTCTTTCTTATTCTCTCCAATAAAATGGTTCAGCTGAATGGAAAAATAGATTTCTTAAGGATATAGTCATTTCAATGTTAATCTTTTATAGATTATCTTTTAACATGTGGGGAAAGCTCTTCTTACAATCTATTACAATTTTGATAGAATTCCTAGTAAGAAAAATGATTAGTCTCTTTATGAAATGTGAAAGGATAGAACACATATATTAAATAAGGCAATTTAGTTAAACTTTCAATTCCAAAATCTAATTTTGGACATAAAATTGGCTATGCTCTTCGTGGTATTGCCTAATTTTTAGTCATTGACTTTAAAAATAGTTTTATTGATAAGAATACAATTTTTGAAATTTGAGATGCTAAGGGCCTGCTTTCTTTACTATTTTCAGGTCATTTTCAATTTTCGAAAACATTGAAAATATGTTTACTTACCTATTTTTATAAACGAATTTTCAAAAACGAGTTTAAAATTTACAAAGAAAACGGAAATCGCCAAAAAAAGTCGTTTTGACTATTTTCAGTTAAAACCGAGCCAAAACTTCAAAACATAGAAAACGGCCAAATTTTACCAATAGCGGGATAGCTAAGTTGGGTGAGTCACGAGTTCGATTTTGTTTCACTGCAATTCAATACAAATGGATTTTCATTTTATATGCACAATACAAAATTTAACAAATAAATTGGTAGGTGGCTGAGATTCGAACTCGGATCAATGGCATGTAATTTCAATGCCTTAACCACAATAACAACCACTTTTGTTTTGTTATATATATATTGAATAATCAGTTTTTCAACTTTTCAAAATTAGAAAGTAAACATGTTTTTCATTTTTTTATTTTGAAAACAATTTTTCAAAATGACAAAAAGAACGTGTTTTCAACAATATCAAAACGGACACTTAAAATACAAAACCCAAAATGAATTCAAAACTAAAAATTGAAAAACGAATAGAACAACCCCTAATTTTTTTCGAAAACAGATTCACTTTTAAAGAAAGTCTGAAGGACCAACTAATTCTATTAGTGTACATCCTAGAGTTAGAGAGGAGCCTCATGAACTAGAAGAAGTTGAAATTAGAAGGACCAAGGATTGTCACTTCTTTCGATCCTAATTTTTTGACCTACCTAGTAGAGGATGACCCTAGTACTTTTACTAGAGCTATGTCCTCACCGTAAGTAGTGAAAATGATTCTATTTTGTCTAATAATACTTGGGAGCCAGTAGACTTACCTCAAGAATATGAGACTTACCTCCATGATTTAAATTTGTTACCACAACTCTACAATCCTGGCTCCGTCGCAAATGATACCGTGTTACTGAAATAGTTAAAACATGGCCAATGGAAATTTACCGTGTTACTAAAATATTTTTGAAAAATGACGACCTTTTCTTTATACAGTAATTTTTCCTTTACACATGGGTAAATTTAGTATTAGAATGGACCTCAAGCCGAAAGGCATATAGAGAAAAATTCATAAATAAGGTGTTTAGTTTACACCAATTCAAAAATCATGTTTATAGTTTGAAAATTCAAAAATCAAGTTTTTTTTTTTAATTCTAATATAATATAATAAACCCACCCCACATGCACCACTCCTACCGCTCAGCGGATTATTCCGGCGACCATTCTGACCCCTACTCTTCTTCGGCGACCACTCTTCTCCAGCGACCATTCAGGTGACTGCTCCGATTCCGACGACTATTCCGACGACCATTCCGGTCACATTTAATTCGTTGGTCACAAATTTCAAAATTAGTTAGTCACATATCAAAATTTATAGGTCACACAGTCACAGATTTTCAAATTAGTTGGTCACAGATTTTTTACGGTCACAGATTTCAAAAATTTAAGGTCACGATTCAAAAATTTTATAGGTTACAGTTCGTTCATCGATCACAAAGTAAAAATTTAAAAGTCACAAATTGTTCATCGGTCACAAATCACAAAATTTATAAGTCACACAACTTATTTTATGGTCACAAAATATAAATTATAAGACAAATTACTTTTATTGGTCACAAATTAATAAATTTGTAAGTCACACAATATTTATTAATCACAATTTATTCTTTATTGGTCACACACCAACCAATTTATTGGTCACAATCAACAAACCATCTGTGACCACCACCGTCGTCTCCACCGCCAACACCATAGAAACACACCACCGCCACCATATAAACCACCGCCGTCGCCACCACAAACACCCCAGCAACCACCACTGCCGCCCACCCAATGAAAACGACCTCACCACCACCACCAGAAAAAGACCTCGACACCACCAACA